TGTAGCTTTGGCAAAGAAATATTTAGGTATACCAGCAACGTCAGTAAGTTCGGAAAGATGTTTCTCAACCGCTGGAAACATAGTGACAGCCAAGAGAAGTTGTTTGTCGCCCTAGACGCTAAACATGCTGATTTTTCTTTACCAAAACAAACAATTATTATAACTTCCAAGATTGTGAGTGATTGCTTTTGTATTTATTGCACTATATTATGCGTTATTACATAATATATATTGCTTGTTAATTAATTTAATATTATTATTATTATTTTGTACTTATTTTATACTATATTATTATTGTTATTACTATTAATGTTTGAACTATTCATATATATACATATGTTTTTTGTTATTACCATTAATGTTTGAATTATATATACATATGTTTATTGTTATTTAATAATTAGGCAATACAACTTTTTTTTGGAAAAAAACAAAATTTAAAATATTGAGATATTATAATGAATGAAATTACAAAAAAATAAATGAATTCTGTATTATTTGTTATACCTACTTTTCATTTTAGCTCTCGGGTATTTAGATACATGAGAATTAATAAAACGGGTATTTAAATACACGGGTATACACGGGTATTTTTACTACACGGGCCTTAACCCCGTCTTGTTTAAAAACACGGGTACCCGTGTAGTTCATTACACGTGTAATCGAGACCTCTAGTTCAGAATGATTATTACCACCACAATTTTAACAATTACTACGATCACGGCAGAACTAAATTATAATTTAGATTCTAAATTTTAGAATATCATGCTCTAAATTGTATGCACATAATTAACTAAAAATTAAGAGTTCAAGTTTGATGTAGACAGTTTTTCTGTGTACAATTATTTTTATGTTTAATTATTTAATCATTAATAAATTATTTTTTCATTTTTGACGATTTTATATATTCAATTAAAATAAACTATTCAAATTAGTTCGCTTTACTTACAATAATTCTTGTGATAGAATGTCTACTTGAAATGAACAATTTTTTCTTATGTAATAATTTTTGTAGATTTTTAAAACATTATACTGGGTAGTTTTTTTTAACAACAAGTATTTTTTAATCGTTATTATTGCTATTTTACACGGCGTTCTGATTTTTCCGCTTGGACGGTGAAAATTTTCGAGCGTTACCCTCTTCGCGTAACGTTCGATACCTATTATATTATTAAAAGGGGAGGCGATTTTTGTGACAGTTATATTTGAAGTTCTACTGAACCGATTAGCATAGTTTTCTTTTTTTTTAAATGCCAGTACTTTTTTCGCAGATGAGCCATCTAACGAGAAAAGTTTAAAAATATAATTAATTAAATAGTTATTATAAGTATTAAATTTTCCGTGTATACGATATCGGTTCGGTATCAAGACTGCGACGTGGCGGCACAAAATAGTGACGTAGGGGAGGTCTGGGCGGCCACATATTACCGTCTGGCTGTCACCAGCCGCTGTCATACTCTGAACCTCATCCACCATTAGATTTAAGCCTATTACATGACTTGGCTAAACAAAGATGGAACGGTGGCATAGAATGCATTCTATTTTTGAACAAATATAATTCTTAAACAATTTTCAATCCTATCCTACAAATAATATGAAAGCACGTATATTAAATTAATAATATTTACTTCAAATTCTACACGATAAATGTATATTTCTAAAGCTCGTGTATATGTTTTCACATCTTTCGAGGGTTACTTGTGATACTTTCCGGTTATTTTCTCGTTATTTCGTCAACAGTAGTTTTGTTGATAATAATGATGTATGAATGTATATTTATATATATATATATATATATATTATTTGAAATCATTAATTGAATTGAATTGTGAATTTCAAAAAGGACCCAACTCCTTTTATTTTTATCAAAATAAACTTTGCTACATTTTTTCGTCTACTTATATAGACCGCGATATTCTATGAGTGAGAATGACTTATATCTCTTTTCTATTGTGATGAATTAACTAATTAACTATTGTTAATTGCTAAAATAAAGAAAATAATTCAAAAGAAAACCAGATTTTTAGTTTGTTGAAAAATTGTAATTTTCAGATATGAGACTCTTTTCGAAATTCATGAAATCCATGATTGAATTAAAAAGTAATATTTTTACAAAAAAAAAAAAAATAATAATAATAATAATAAATACGTTTTGCACTTTTTAAACATCAATCATAGCTACGCAAATAATCGTAATAATCATATATCGTAGTTTATTTATTGAAAATATATATATATCAAACCAAATATACGGTGATACAACGATAGGTATAAATATTAAATGACGCATAGAGCTGTAATATTGTACTTGAAAAATCCATTAATGTTGATGGTAATAAAAAATAAAAATATATTTTACGTTACGACAAGTGAAATAATACACTAATATCTTACAACATAAATATCTTATACTTATTTTATTTTTTTAAGAGCTTTTATTCACTATTCAGCTCGATAGTTGGAATATATATCTTAAGGTATGATACACAAAATACTTAAAATAATGATAAACGATGTATACAACATAAGGGATTAAAGGTACAGAATAATAATAAAGACCTTATACTTATTGTATAATAATATTAATGTTTGTTCGATTTCAAAATTTTCAAAGTCTATCAATCGCATTTAACCGTGTACCGAGCGATTTTATTAGCTTGATCGAATGTTAGTAAATTATAATCACACAGCACAATAACGATTAATAAACTTTCTTGTTCCGAGCAACCTTCCCCTCAAAGAGTACAAACAATACATCTTATGACACGTCATTATTGGTTTACCGTTCCGCGTATCTCTTTTATACGGACAGTAACGAGTGACGGCGCAAATATATATAACAAGTATATAATGTATACGTATGTATGTAGGTACAACGACGACGCGCGATGGAGGCACAAAGTTACACTATAAAGCGGCGTTTATAGCGTTTAGTTATTACCGTTTTAAAGGATGGGAATGCTTTCAGTGTTTTTAACGTCCTTTTATACAACTAAACGTCCGATTATAAACCATCGTTATCAATGTTAATAACCTAAACAACTGCAACGGTATGTATTATTATTATTATTATTATATTGTTCTTTGGTGGTGATTTAAGAACAATAATGAACTTGGAATCGATTTTATTTATCTTAGAGACACGTTATGTATACATATATATGTTTATTTATTTACATACAAATAGCTACAGATCATCTAATGAAAAACGACAGTAAAATTTTATGATAAGAAGTATGTATATACAACAAATAACGAATAATACGCAAATAAAATGGAGTGGGACAAAAGCATGAAAAAAATACCGTAGAATTCGTGAACAATGCGTCGACGTTCCGAAATGGAAATGTACATGTTAATTATACTGTATTTTTGGACTATCTTACCATATCATTTTAAATAAATAATCGAAGAAATAATTCCACAAGAACGATTGTAATTATATTCCGGTTGTGTTCTTTTTAGTTTTTTGTGAACATTTTAGTTTCCAAAATCAACTTTATACCAGCGTTAATGTTGAACAAGTGTTGTTTATTTTTACACGCGTGTCACACAGTATAACTGTCACATGATAAACGCATTTCGTATTAGTTTTTTCAAATGTACCGAATTAAAAAAATACATAAACGCAATATAAAAAGACAAAGCTGCATATTAGTATGCACAAACTAATAAATCGTGACAACCGTAACCCGTTTTTTGTCTAAATCTTAGAGTTAAAAAAAAAAGAACAAAAATACAGCGAGTAGGTTGAATTGACCAATTCAGACCAATTAAGATCAATTCATCTATTTTCTTGTGTAGTAAACTATCTCGTAAGCGATAAAATGTTCTATTCTAATCGGAAACTTATCGACATTGGTCCGTAATTAAACGAGTAATAGGGGAGTTTGAAAACGAAGAGATAAACCAGATCCGCTCTATGGAATAATTGGTTGAAATCGATCGAATTTCGAACATGAGCGGGAAGTAACGCTGAAACAAGCAACAATGATGAATACAAATATTATATATATAACATTTTCGTGTTAGTGGAGATCACCCGTATAACGCAGTGGGATATCGCGGCCGCCCAAGGGTTTAATTCTTTACCGTCCAAGTACTCGCAGAGGCAATACCGTAACTGCCAAATATTGTGTCCACGGTGAAACTTCAAAATGCTCCCTTATGTGTTTTTTTTTAATTTAAAAAAATTTTAATGATTAGATATTATTTTCAACAACTGCTTTAATTTAATTTTAAAGGACGTTGAAATTGTAAATAAAATATATAACCATGGCTGTTGCAAAATTTAACATAAAATGCAAATTTTTAATTTTGGTGCCCTCCCGAGAATTGTAACTGGAGCGAATCTCTTTTCGCACCTTCCCTCCTTTACTACAATCCTGCTTAGAGACATTCTGTCCGGTAAAAATAGTGGGTACAATCGATGAGATATATTCCGTGAAGACCTCTCTTTGACGAAGACCGCGTACAAATGACGAAACAGCCATAAAGAAGTGATATAAACATATATAAATACACACATAATGAGCTAGAGCAACAATTTTCGATTAGGCCACGGCCCCCTATAAAGTCACCAGGGTTTTTAGCGACCCTTTTAATATGATAACATTAAAAATTAGCGAAAAATTAATATGATTAATACATTATTTTTATTGGTGATCCTAAACTTTTATCAACTACCATTCTTTACAATGATCATCGTGATGATATTTTCAAAAATACCTCACTAGTTATTTTACGTATTACAACAACTACGTTAAATATACATAGACTTTGAACGTGTATATTTCCAAATGGTCGGCGGACGGACAATTTGCCGACCGTGTGTACGAACAGTGCTTGTTGGCGATCGAATCGCCCCGGGTAAGTGGTCTTTAAAAAATATAGTAAAAAAATCTTATCTGGAGGAAATAAATCCCCAGCCGCGGATTAGAGTACGGTTAGCCGTCAACTCAGCGCCAAAAACGTTTGATTATTGATCGTATGTCTCTTACCTCTCTGCCAGAATATGGCATGATTGAAATAGTGCCCTATCGACCGGGCGTCCATCAAGGCGATTAGCAGCAGGTACAGACCCATGCAAAAGTCGGCCGTGGCCAGGTTGCACATGAGGAACTTGGGAACAGTCAACCGGAACCGGCTGCTGAGCAACACGAACAGCACGGCCATGTTTCCAAGCAGCGCGGCCACCGCCACGACCCACACAGCCACCCGCAGCGTCCAGTTGCCCATCAGGTCCTCGCACGGGTTGAAGGCGTCCGGTGCCGGGTAGCACTTGACTTCTAAATAGTTCTTGGACACGTTTCCGCACACCGCGTCCACCTTGGTGCCGACCGTCACGTCTGCAACCGTCATCGGAGTAGTGTTTAAGCACAATGATTATTAGTGAAAGTTTCTATCGTTTCTTCCGTCACCCGCGAGCTCAGTTTGAAGGGTCGGGACGAGACAAGCGAAATATACCGAAACGCGCGTCCCTAGTCGACGAGTGCCAGACTCATGCACGGTGTCGCAGCCGATCAGGGGGCACTGGTCCAGTGGTGGCACGAGGTTTATTTTTCAATGAAACGGTTACGTGTATCGAGTACCCACCCGATTAAAATTATTAATTTTTTTTAAAACAAAGAAGTCCAAACAAAATAAAATATAATAGTATTTAATGTAAAATGTACAAACTATGTAATAAACTTTTCTGTTGTACAGCATTGCCTACCCATCCTATTTTAGTCTTAAAGCAGTTGCTTCAATGAAATCCGCATCTCATCGATACTGTTTGGGTCCAGTGTCGGAGGACGGTTCACGTGGGAGACGGTCGGGAACTTGACAGGGGCATAGACTTACTTTTAGGGGGGGGGGGTGACTCAAATTTTTTCTTTAATTCAGGCTCAAAATTTACAAGTAAAATTTTTGGTAATATTTAAATCAGATGAATCCTTAATATTAGTGGTTTTTTTTTTAAATCTAATGTCGGATCCACTTAGAATCGAATTTTGTGTAGTTCTTTTTAACATCTGTCTGTGTTTTGAAAGTTAAGCTTGTGTTTTATTTGATTTTTACTAAGTATGGTAACACGACAAAATGCCCAATTTAGTATCCACAGCCACGCGTAATTTGATTTCGTTATAAAATGATCCACATTAAAACAATTTGAAATGTGTATCTCACATATAATCAGTACCGGATCAAACATTTGTGGGCCCCTAGGCAATTAAAATTTTGAGCCCTACAAAATTATTTCTTGCATACATCTTTAACATTACTGTCCAAAAATTTAAATGAACATCTTTAATAATAACCAACTATTAATAATAAATTAATTGTTTATTAAATTTTTTTATTTGAAAGAAAAATTAATTAATTATTATACTATTTCAATCTTTTTCAAAATAATTGTATTATTATTTACTGCATATAACACCTATAACTTAAAATATATTATATTTCATAGTGACTTTTGTCCCGTAAATTCGTAAATAAATACTGGTATTATTAAACAAACAAAATATAGTTTTCCGTTTTTACAGGCCCTTTAAATGAGTGAGGCCCTTAAGCGAGCGCATACTCCGTCTAACGAGTAATACGGCATTGCATATAATCAATTCCTTAAATACGGATTCAAGGAGGACGATCGCCCCTTCGCTCCCCCCCCCTAAAATGGAGCTCGACAAGAAAACGGAAATTGTCGGCCGTAACCGTCGCTGCTGTGACGAAAATAACGTCTCTCGGCGCCGCACCAAGGTTTGTGGATGTGATAGCGATAACACGTTTATAATCTGTAAAACCTCGGGCGACCGCGCAGCACGTACACGTGATTAATATTCCGCGCGACGCCGAACGTTATCCGTCTCCGTCCCGCCACTGAATGCGACTAGGTCTGATCAATTGTTACGGGTCGTAACGTCATGCACGTGGTGTACAGCTTCAAGTGTGTTCTAATTCTCGTTTGGAAATGTTTATTTTCTGGCGCAGCAATGATTAATCTTCGACTTTACCGTTCGAATCGCATTTCCTAATCTATTGTTTATTATCATTATTATCATCATTATCATTTTTCGTATTTGGTGTAAGTACTCGTTTAATGTTATATTGTTTCATACGCGCGGGCTGCGTTACGTGATAACGATATTATAATTTCATACTGAAAACACAGCGTTGTGGTTTATGGCGTTTTGTGAACATTAAATAACAAACAAGTGCTGGGCCTATGGATATCCTGCGACCTGTGTAAATGATTTATTAATAATAAAAAAAAAAAAAAAATACATTTTGCGGATAAAATAAAAGCAAATTACGTTCTATTATATGCACTATTTGTATTGTTTTAACCACCTGAATATCAATTGAGTTTTCATTTAGAATAAACTAAGGGCGATAAGAAAATAGAAATAATAAAGAAATAAAATAAAGAAACGCACTAGGTTGACTCACCAACGCCAGCTTAAAATTTAGTTGGTGCTAAAGCAATCCTACCATAAGCCGCAGTTTGTCGCTCCGGAAATGATGCCACCTCACCAAGACTAAAGCGCAATGCTTAGGATAAGATCTAAGTTTCAAGAGGCTGTGGTTCTAATACCACTTGGAGGGTTCTTAAAAAAAAAAAAAAAAATCGCTCAACATAATATTTATATATTTATTTAATAAATGTTGATGTATTAAACGACTAAAAAAAAAAAAAATGATATTTTAGTACATTAATTAATAGGGAAATTAAAAAAAAGAACAATAAGAATAACGAAACAATATTAAATGCTGGTTTTAGAAGTCTCTAAGAACTTGAGATCCTGGTGCATTGTATCCCCTGCACCTCTATTGAATCCGGTATTGCTGAAGTGCCTACTTTAGCTATAGAACCAGTGCGAGATAGTAAAACAATCCCACGTGACCCAGTGGAGGGCGCAGTAACTAACATGGCCTCCCGTGTCCACGCGATGGAAAGATTGGAAGACTTAGGTTCGGTGCTGGTGGTCCCTAAGACGATACGGACTCATGGAATTAACTTACAGGTTCATACGACTGCACCTTTTGAATAACGCCACGCGTAATAGTTACGGCCACGAATCCGAAACTCGTGTTAAAAAGTATAAAGTTAATTAGTTAATTATTATTCATATATAAGTTTATATTAGTTAATGTTATTAATTTAAATGCTGTTCTAATTATAATATTGTTTTAAGATATATTTTAAAGATCTTACTTAAATTAAACATAAAAAAGAACTTTAAATTATATTTGACATAATTTTTATCATCAAATTCTGGATACTGCATGCAAACCCTAAACTGTAAACCGTAAACCCTAATATTTTTTTTTATACGTAAAAAGTGTTTTAAATTTAAGTACATATTGAAAATATAAAACAAGTAGTTATTTCCGATTTTAATTTAATAATTTAATTTGTCTAAATTAATTTTAATTTTCAGGTGGTATTAAACTTGTAAAAGTGGATATTATACATTTATTATATGGATTATTTAAAAATATAATAAATATACTCGTATATTTGAATGTGAAAACTTACCACCCGAGTGAAACATTTCATCGCCAAAAAAATTCTCCGTCGTCGATTGTGATGTTTTCACCGTGGGAATAGCATCCAATTCTATATTTTTACACTCTAGAAACATCTTCTGTCGAAGTTTCTAAATAAAACAAAAAAATAAAAACTATATTTTTTTTTTGTTTTTTCATTTGTTCTAGACTTGATTAAATAATGTATTTCGACACATGTTACTTTATCTAATCCAAATAATCTCCAATATTCTTAAAATATCAAAACATTCTTTCACTTCGATTTCCACCTATGATTGCATCTTTTTTTCTTTTCTTATAACATTAAATTGTTAAATATAAGTAAATTATAGTTATTTCTACCAAATTACTGAACGCTTATTTTATATTGTTAATAATTGCTTTATCTATAAGGTTAGACTTTATATTACGTATTAATTAACTATATAACTTTTGAGAGAAATAGTTTATTATTAGAAAAATAAATAAATAAATAAATAAACAAATATTACTATAGGTTTTTAATATTTTTGTTTTATAGGACATTCAACCACTCTATACCTGTACTGATCAAAATTAAATTTCGATCAGAGCAAACTTCTAAAAAGATGTAAATACCTGTATTAAAAGTTTATATTATAATATATATATATTTTTTTTTTTTTTTTTTATATAAAACGAATCTTTGTTTTTATTAATATTCACAAAGATCTAATAATAATAATAATATGTAGTACCTCATGATCTGCGTATCCTTGAGGGTTGTGTGTTTTTGGAAAATGAAAAGCACAGCAATGGTATGGATATGTTAACCATGCTTCTTTAATGTTCTATAAAACAAAATAAAAACATTCTTATTAAATATATTGTATTAGAAAATATTGTTAATTGAATTAGTATTCTTATAAATTCATAGCACTGCGATAATATTATGCGTAATAACCATCCTAATAATGTTAATTTTTTTACATATCTCATTACAACAGATAATAAATCATTACGGTTCTATATTCTTTGGTTAGTTTTTAAAAGGGTAGACGAAGTTATAAAACCTACCTTTTATGGGCATTTAAGTAATATTTTCTTAAATATAATTTAAAAATAATGTCATACTACTATTTCTGTTATTTCTGTATGAATTTTGGAATTTTTTCAAACACTCAATGATCAATAAGGCCATATTCAAGTATAGTAATAATAAAAAATTGAATACCATTTTAATTTTTCTGAAGTCTAAATATTGTGATAGGTGTATATTTATGTGAATCAAGTTTGCAAATTAATTATTATAGTCACCTATTCGACATATTATCATGAGTTTGTGCTACGTAAATCAACATAATTAAAACGAATTATTATAGTTTATAGTTTACTGGATGCACCAAAATCAACCCAATTGACCAAGTCTTTGTGAATGTGATATGCGAACTAATGTTGTATCGAAAAGTTTTTGAACCATTCGAAATTGATTACAATTTAAACTATTCGGCTCAATATATATGTATAGTAGTAATCGTTGAATCCAAAATATAAACTATACTAATGAATTCGGTTAACATGGATATAAAAGGAATCCAGTCGAATTCCTAAACTTGTAAAATAAATGCTATACAACCTTAATTAGTTAATCTTCCACCTATGTACGTACATAATATTCTAAAATCTCATACATATATTTATACATAAGTAAATAATACAAATGAATAGTAACGAGTGTACCGCTACACTACTAATTTTTACCTTGAAGTTGTAAATGGACGGGAAAATGTTCATGGTATATGTGTTTTCGATTTTCAATACGTCCAGTTCTTCGAGACCCGCGGTGGGCAGGTTCGAAATCGAAGTGTCCGACAAGTCTCTGCGAAAGAAGAATAAGACGCGAATCAGTGACGATACGACAAGAAAATAAAATACATAGTGTGGGTGTAACAGCGTGTAGCAGTGCAGTGCAGACGGGAACGTGGAAACGGATAAAACGGAAAGGATGCAAAAGTTATGCGGATGACATTTAATTCAATTTGTTGCAAACAAAACTTGTTACGTGAGTTTACGTGGAATTATGTTTGAAACTATTCGAATATTACGTTCCACCGTGCAAAGCTGTGCGCGTGAGCACCGGACTCAAATCGGGTTGTGTTTATTTAATAAAAACTTGGTAAACGATCATATCTTTCTGTAGAACATGAACACACTTACAGGTTACGGAGACTTTTAATCCCGACAAAAGCTTGCGCGTCTAGCTTCCGAAGCTTCCGATTGCCTCTCAGGTTACTGCAACAATACAACGTGATCAAACATGTGATATAAGTTATTTATTTTTATTTTTATTGAGGACTATGGTCGAGCTGTTATTGATTTCTCAGTTAACAAACACTTACACCGTGGCTATTTGGGCGTCCTTGAAAGCCAATGGTCCCACTTCGGTAATGCGGTTGTAATTAAGTTGGCTGCGAACAAATAAAAACGATTTGTGTAAGACAATGCATTGAACCGCGTTTAAAAACTATTAATGTTTTTATGCATCACTCTCGGAACGTCGTAAAGATGTCTATTCGTTGAATCCAAAATTAATGTATATTTTTGATTAGATTTTTCTACATGTGCGCATCAAATCATGAACACAAATTAATTTTAACAGTCACGATTCCGTATTGCTTTTGTTTTATGTTTGCCAATGTAAGTCTTATTAATATTTTCTTTGTTTTTATTTTATACAAAAAATAATCTGCTCTTATATTATACATACTAATGTAGTACAACGACACATATTTAAATACTATAGCATATCACGGAATACGAGAAAAATATAAAACTCTATGTAGACTTGAAAATATTTTTAAAAATTAACTGCGATTAAATAAATTTATACTTTACTGACACTATGAACTATTTTAGCATTACATTTTATGTTATTGACAGCAAAAAAATGCCACAATATTAATCAAAAGTAATCATTTTAATTTTTACAATTATTAGATATTTATGCATTGTTTAAATTTTATAATAATATATTTTTAATAAATGTTCAAAAATGTTTTATGTACAAGTGTTCATACATAGGTATATTGTTTATTTGAAATCCTACATTGATGAATTTACACGTTAGTAAAAGTTACGAGCTGTTTATTTCGTTTTAACAATTTTTAGTTTAACATTTTAGAAAAAAAATATTACTAGGATAACGATAGTTATAAAAATTATAATTGTTGCTCTTGTTATATTTTCTCAAATAATGTTATATTCTTTTTCTTTGGATCAAATTCGTTAGGTAATTATAACAAAAAAAAATTATTTTATTTTTCGAAGTATTTAGTAGCAAGCAATTATATTATTACGTTTTATACGATAAATTCCTGCTCATTTAATTTACATAAAATATGCATATTTTGATTTGCAATCTGAAATACTTTTATTAGGATTTGTTTATCTTGATATTTCAAACATATTAAAGATTTTATCAACAAGTGTGTATTATTTAGTATGTATAATTTATATAATTTAGATGAAAACTCCAACATAATTTTTTTAATATAAGTAAATACAACTTCCCATAAGAGTATAAGTAAAACCGCTTGTAATAAAATTACAACCATTAAGCTCAACATTTTAAATCGTTATTCACTTCAGACAGAAATGAATTTACTTCGTAAAAGTAGAGACTTAGTTATACTCGTATATTATATAAACAACAGTTAATATAAATTTAATTTAAATCTAGATTTTGATTCAGTTGAATGATGTTTTGAATGAAATTGACGTCATTATTAAACATAATGAATAGAAATTATTTAGAGTAAGGATAATATCTTAAAATTGGAATAATCAACATTTAGTTGAGCGTAACGGAATATTAAGCTAAGAATATACGCTAAAAAATCGTACTTTGTACAGCTTCATAAAATGAGGCATAAGATCAATTCTGAAATCCAGGACTCATTTATAAGTATTTTCCTTTAGGCCTCATTAAAGCTGGTATCGAAACTGATCAAAAGGTATGATTTACAAATAATTCAATAATTCAAATATGTGACAGAATCAATACTTTCAACGTTTCCCACGGACAGAGTATCTAATGCATTTTACATTGGTATTTATGTTATCAAAATATACTCAGTGGCGAACTTAAGAGTCGCAGGGCCCTTAGACACCTACTAAAGAAGGGAACTTTTAAAAATGTATTAGTAAAAACTGCTATTAACTTTTATATATTCAACATTATATAATAAGAAATAATTATACTTATATCATTATCATGATTAAAAATAATAATATATATGTATTAAATTAAATAAAAACAGATTTATGAAAAAAAATGTACAAACTTTATCAATAATGTTTACTTAACAAAATATATGACCAAATTAAATTGTTATATAACGAACTTTATCTGAGAAAGAAGGTATGACTTCACTCTAGTCCACTGAATGCATCATTTCTAACTCACACAGAACAACACTTTCTGTACAACACAGAAAGTGAATTAAGTATGTTATCATCTGTATTGGATCTTAAATCATTTTTAATTAGCTTAACTAAATTATAAATAATGTTTATAAATATAATCGAATATTAAAATAATTTTCTAGTGAAAAAAAATATATATAATCTAACAAAAAAAAAAAAAATCACTGATAACACCATGAAATATATAAAATACAGTTATGATGTATATTATCACTTTTTATATGCATAACAATATAGTGTGATATGATATTAATTTTTAAGTTACTACCTACCTCATAATAATATTTTTATAAACCTATTTCTATGTTAGCTTTAAAAAAAATAAATAAATAATATTTTATACATTAAATATTTTTCCATTTTCCGTGATTTATTTATTTTTTTAGTACCTACTTGATTGGAGGATAAATTATAATAAGAGATAATATTATGAAAATTTGAATAGATCTTCAATTGTTACTTTTAAAAATTAAAACGTTGGTCACTCAAAACATATTTTTTCACTAAATAATAACAAGGGTTTATCCGAATGTATTTATTTTATATACACCATACTCCTCAAAAATTAAATAGTGAATAGCAGCAGTGTCAATTAGATTAATAAAGCTACAAAAAAGACCAACCCTTATATTTATATAAATAATATATAAAGAATAATATAGCTAAATAATATACATACGTGTTTAAACAGTTTACCTAAATAGTAAATATCAATAATAGTGGCAAAATTATACTATTAAGTCTTATTGATAAAGATAGTTAACATAGTTAACAATTTAAATAGAACAATTTTGATGATTGAGTACTTCTTTGTTTTTAACTGAACAACAAATTTATAGGGTAGGTACAACCTCACTTCACCACCATTTCATATACCTCACTGATCCATAACCTATCATGGTAATATCAGATTACACATTTTTTAAGAATATTACCATAATTTATTTTCCTGTTAAGTTTCTAAATCACAAAATTATACAATTTGAATATAAAATGAACTATTATCTTGAAACATTTTCCAAGAACCACATATAAGTAAAATCAAACGGTTTTTTTCTTAGTGCCAATTATTAAACGTGTATATTAAATAATACTAAATATATCACTGCGGAATACAGAGTGAATTTATTTATTAAATAGAGAAAACTCCTCGAATAACAGTATGATAATAATTATAAGGTACGCATTTTAATTATATTCCATTGAAATAATTTTATCATGACATCATTTTTTTGTACACTGTTAATATCACCATAACGTTTATAATGACACTGATTTTCAACACCCTCCTTTTAATTATTAATAAACTAAATATTGTAACATATATATGCTTATTCTCACATAATTTATTTCATATTATTTTTAAGAAAATGTATAGAATTCCAATTTTGTTGGACTATATACAATTTAATATTACATATTTTGTCTGAATACTGTTGTATGGACCTAATAATTATATTTATCTTATTTTTACGAAACGATTTAAATCAAGATAGATGTCGATGTATGATCAAAAAGTGATATCTATTTCCCCTTCAGTAAATCAGTGCAATATAGTATTCTTTTTGAGCACAAATGAATTTATCGATAAACTAATTTTGAAACAATAAAATTGTTTTCATCGGATGTTTAGTGTTCACACATCGAATAACATCAACAATGACAATCAATAGTCACAATAAAATAACACTTTTGCACACTACATTGATTAACACAATTATGGGAATTAAAACTAATTTCGAAAACATGAAATGAAACTATATTGATTTTAAAAATGGATTTCCTTTCGATCGACGACAGAGGCTAAAGTTTTGTCTGTGCTCTCAACACATCGATATATATATATATATATATATTATTATTTTGATTAAAATAAGAATGCTTTACTAATAATGTTTTTTTTTTTATTTCTATGGTAACGGAAAATGATGTTTTGATTTGCTAAAAAGTAAGTAGCACCCGAGCCGAGTATCATAATTCACTCGTTACGATTTTTTTCAACAATTTCAGTCACGCACATTTTTATCTGAAGAACATTACTTATTTTAAAAATATACTTTTACAGTAGTATGTTGCTATATTGCAATACTATAAATATTATTATTTATTATAAATAAATTAGTTTTTACTTTTTTTTTCAGAAATGTTCGGCCGTATTTCTCAGGTTTTTCAATTATTCCATATGATAAAATTTATATGAACAAAAATATCATGACAAAAATAATACATACAAATTAAGGCGTTTATATAAATTGTATAATGTTTGAACTCTAGCTAAATGAACTGATTGCCTTGGAATTAATAAAACGTAAAAAATACACGATAGTGTTAAACACGAGTTTGGAATGAATAGATTTAAATACATTAAAAAAAAACCCTTAAGTCTTTGCCAAAATATCACGATTATATAAACATAGTCACTTTACAGTAAAAATAAATCTTGTATGAACGTCATAGTTTTTACAAAATTAAGTCCTTTGTCATCAAATTTCATGAGTATTAAGATACAACAATACACTTAAAAAAGAAAAATGAAAATACTCTCATGATATTCTACAAACAAATAAATGTTGAAACACGTAAAATGTTGTACATGGATATGTATGGGTATTGCAGGCACTCAAGTCAATGTATGTTGCATGAGATACGATCTCAAAAATTATATCGAAACATTAGGTGTCTGCTCGGCAAAAAATTTTGTTTGAAATGTAAATTAGTGTGAATAACAATGTTTCAAGACACTGATTTAAATATTTTGAACAGCGTTTGTACAAAAAAATAATCTTGAACATCGCGCATCGACAGTCAATGCGTAATATTACTACACCAAGCCACAACACGGTTAAGAGTCGGACGAATCGTAAACGATCTGTTTGTTGCACGCATTGTTACCGAAATGTCATTTGATATCCATGCAGCAGACGATAATCGTCTGCCGCGCTCATGCCTAGACCGGTGAAAACGATACTCCTTGTCCGGAATA